CTTTCCAGCCTGGGACGAGGCGTGGAACGCAAGCTGGTCACGCGCTGCTGTCACCGCATTACGGGGACGCTCTATCCCGTGTTGTTCTTGGTTTCTATGGCTGTGGGCAGGTGACGTCATCCGGAGTCAGGCTGCATAGTCACTGCCGGGTGTTGTGCGCAATCAGCGACGGTCCTGCGAAGAACCCGCCGAGAGCGGCCTACATGGTGAGAGTGGGGCCTGGGAGGGGGTGACTGCGGGGGGCTATGTAAAGGCCAAAATAAACACTTGGCCGCCAAAGAACTGTGAGCGGGGTCAAATGGACATAATGGAAGGTGATTGGGAGAGATAATGGGGGTGTTTTGGGGTGATATCTGAGGACACGGGAGCAATAAGGAGGTGTTGGGGGACATTTCTGTGATGGGGAAAAACCCCCTGCACTCCTCTCCTACGTGTACTGCCTTCATCCCACCCCCTGCACTCCTCTCCTACGTGTACTGCCTTCATCCCACCCCCTGCACTCCTCTCCTACGTGTACTGCCTTCATCCCACCCCCTGCACTTCTCTCCTACGTGTACTATAAATGTATAATATACATATACAAATCTACAAAATAATAAACATCATTTGTATTTTCCTGCTAAGTTCTGCGATGGAAAGGGGCAATAGCTTGGGGAGCAGAAAGGGGGTATGATAGGTGAAGGGGCAATGTAGGGTCCAGCCCGGCAGTCATTGCATGTCAGTTGTGTGGCCGGGCTCTGTGTATGTCTATGTAACATGCTGTCCTGACATTGTAGTGTATCCTGGGCAGTGGGAGCAGCCAGTCCCAGGAAGGAACCTTCCATCATATTTTCCATCTTGTGTAATCTGAGTATTTTTACATTGGGATGTAAACACTGACTCCACTTCTCCATACTGAGCTCTGCAAGGGAAACCTTTTCTTTCTTCTCTTTCCTGCAAACAGTCCAACTTCCTGTTATGTTTTAGGGTTCTGGGAGGGATCTGGAGAGAACCCCCACGATAACCGCTACTGCTCCTACAGGTAGCACTCCATCTTTGATCCCAAGACTATGCCTGCATGTGAACGGAGTGCTGCCGTTCCTTTACCTCCTATGTCAGGCGTAGCTGGTGATCACATTACCTACCTTTCACTGACCATAACGCTCCCAAAGCATTTTGGGATATGTAGTGCTGGAAATGACGTCGGCAGTGATGAGAGAGAAAAGTGATGGTGTCACAGGCAATAAAAAGTTTTTTACGGCTAAAACCGAACAGTGTGGGTGTGGAGGCAGACGTGAGAGACGGCATGTTTAGTTTGTCAGGGGTGGGCAACTCCAGCCACCCAGCTGTTGTGGAACTACAAGTCTCATGAGGCATTGCAAGACTGACTGTTACAGGCGTGACTCCCAGGAGCAGCGGCATGCTGGGATTTGTAGTTCAAGCACAGCTAGAGGGCCGAAGTTGCCCATCCCTGGTGTACAGGTTGCTTTTGTGTTGTCTATGATTAGTGTATGGGTTGCTACTGAGTTGCATGGGTTGCTTTTGTGTTGTCTATGATTAGCGTATGGGTTGCTTCTGACTTGCATATGATTAGCGTATGGCTTGCTTCTGAGTTGTATATGATTTAAATATTGGTTGCTTCTGTGTTGTCTATGATTTTAAATATTGGTTGCTTTTTTGTTGTCTTTGATTAGCATATGGGTTGCTACTGAGTTGCAAATCATTAGGGTATGGGTTGCTCTTGGATTAATATTGACTTGCATGGAGAAAAGGAGAAGTTCAGATGAAACCATTAGGGTGGGTTAGATGTGTGGCACGCTCCAATCACTGTCAGGTATTAGTGCTGGCTATGTCATTACTATACTGGATAGTGGCTTTGTTGCCCCATAGACATAGTGCTAGGACAAAGTTTCCTCATTGACTCTCTGAGCCTTAGATGGAGGCCCCTGTAGGTATCTCACAGAGGAATACGAGGGACTATGGCTGCATCAGGAGACATCTAATGCCTATAGGCACCTTGAAGCCCAAACCCAGCCCAAAGGTATTTATTGCTGCCTGTGTCTCCTTTTGGGGAGATTTCCCCTCACGTCCTGTTCCTGTAGATGGAACACATTGTTTCTAGGTTATCATTAGAGGGCTGGACAGTCCTAATATACTATAGGTCCAGGGGTGGACAGATTCATAATGAATCCAGAGGTCAAATCCATTGACAACAACTAGAGAAAACCTCCAAACTTCGGCGCCGGGTGTAACTTTGTGGAGCATTGGCGACCTGGCTCCTGGGATTTTTTTGTTTGTGATTTCTTCTGTGGCCTCCTTGTTGCATAATAGTCCTTCGATGTTCTGCATGGTTTGCTGTGCGGCTCATGGATAATCACAGGGTGTTGTTCTCACGTCTCCGATATGCATTACTAAAGCAAGCTGGCATGTCGTGATTGTGTGCACGTTGTGCAACTGGTGACTTGTGAACTTTGTCCTTTCCCTTGTATAGCGCTGTGATGACATGCCTGGGCACAATCCGCACCTCACCACCACACTTGTATTTGGAGGTAGATTCCCGGTGTGCAGCCTTGGCAAAATCCAACTCTCTCTCCAAATATTGTCCCGTGTCCTCACTGTGAAGATTTTGTTTACTGACAGGAAGTGAGGGAAAATCCCCAAATGGGGACGCACCAATAAAAAAAAAAAGCTGACTGCTGTTCTAGCCTTACCCTGGTCCAGTAACTGGAGTCTTTTTATTGCAGTCTATGGCCCTGTTGGAGACTGTCCTTCAGTTTCTGCCCTGGTGCCAGTGTTGTCACCGGAACAGGAAGTGAGGGGAAATGTCACTAATGGGGTTACAGAGAGCACTGAAACATTAGAGTTTCTAACCCAGGGATGGGCAAACTCTGGCCCTCCAGCTGTGGTGAAACAGGGAGTCGTGCATGTGCCCTGGGAGTCGTGCATGTGCCCTGGGAGTCGTGCAGGGCTGCAACCAACTAATTGATTATGGGGGGAGAGATTTTTTAATGCAACTAATCGATGAATCGGCCAACTAATCGATTATGAAAAAAATCGTTGGCCCTGGAGTCGTGCCTCTGTCTTGGGAGTCGTGCCTCCTGTCTTGGGAGTCGTGCCTCCTGTCTTGGGAGTCGTGCCTCCTGTCTTGGGAGTATCTTGCAAAGCCTCATGGGATTTGTAGTTCCACTACAGCTGGAAGGCCGGAGTTTGTCCACCCCTGTTCTAACCCTTCTTGCTGTGTCCAAAATTATGCAACTGGCTGGAGGTTCACTTAAAGTGTAGATAAAGCCCCAATGTTTTGTTATTTGGCATTACTGTGTCCAGTTTATTTCAGCAAGTCCCTTTTTGTGAATCTTCTTACCTGGAGATTCCACCAGTAACAGCATTTCTTGTTTCAGACTGACAATGCAAAACTGCTGTCTGGTGTGCATGCATCCTTAGTTGGCCATTGGGCTGCCCATTCGACCCACAAGATAGAAAATCCAACAATCAACTGAAGGACAACACATAGCAGGCTGACAACACTGATGCTAATTGTGAGTTTAGAGTTTAGTGTTGTCAACCTGCAACAGGAAGTGCTGTTACTGGCAGGATCTCCAGGTAAGGAACTTTGCAAAAGGCTTGCTGAAGGTGCCACTTCCCCCTCTGTGATCAGGTCTGCTTATTTAAGGGGGCCCCTTCTCCCTAAAATGCTGGGTGAATGGGAAAAGGGTGGGTGGGGGGATTTAGTATACTTGCCTTTCCCTGGCTTCTTCCTGCAGTGCCTTGGTCAAAGGTGATGTCCAGCACTTTCAGGCCAGATTTGGGTAAATGTTGAGTGGCCCAAATTTCTTGAAGACATTCCTGTTCTCACAAGGTTTTGGCTACTTGGCATCTTGTTGGTGGTCAGATGAGATCACCTTGGGGAAAGGTGTGTATATTTTTTCCACCCACAGGTTCATCTGTGATGTAGAACCCCGCTAGTCAGCGTCCTATGAGAAGATAGAAGGGTGAGCTGGTTGGTCACTATGGCCAACACTTAAGTTGTGCACTGTCTGTAGCTTCATAGCAGCCAATGAAATCCAGGCTTTTACTGTCATGCCAAGCAGGCGTGATCCTGACTGGAGGCTCCGAGGCAACACATTGATAAATAAGTGCCCGGGTCTCTTATCCAAGGTCTTGTTGGGTTCCTTAGTAACATTGGTCCCGGTCCGGTCAGGGTTGTGACCACAGATAAACATTAAACATGATCTCCGACTAAAGCCACAGAGGTGGCCACTTAAACTACCATGACTGTCGTGTTAATGAGCTCCCCGAACTTGTGTTGTGAAGACGATTGAGGAATACCGTGATCCTGCCAGGCCTCATTATGGGGATCAGCAGCCGTTTCATTGATGTGGCTGCTGTGAGCAAACCGACGTGTGAAGTACTTGTATTCTGAGGAATAGCAGATTAAAAGCCGCATTCCCCCATCATTATCATTGTTCATCATCAGTCATGATGGGCCTCATAAATCCCAGGGGCCAGGCAGACCGTGCTCCTAAAACATTACAGCTGACGCCTTCGTTTTTTAAAAGCATTCCTGGTATAAATAGAAGCGCCTATTCCACCAGTTTCTTAAAATTGCACAGAAACACATGGCTTCTGCTGACTCTCAGTGATCATGGAGCGGGGTGGTCACAGACACACATGGCTCCTGCTGACTCTGTAATCATGGAGCGGGGTGGTCACAGACACACATGGCTCCTGCTGACTCTCAGTGATCTTGGAGCGGGGTGGTCACACCCACACATGGCTCCTGCTGACTCTCAGTGATCTTGGAGCGGGGTGGTCACAGACACACATGTCTCCTGCTGACTCTCTGTGACCATGGAGCGGGGTGGTCACAGACACACATGGCTCTTGCAGACTCTCAGTGATCTTGGAGCGGGGTGGTCACAGACACACATGGCTCTTGCTGACTCTCCGTGATCTCGGAGCGGGGTGGTCACAGACACACATGGCTCTTGCTGACTCTCAGGCCCCGTTCACATTGAGCGATTTATCGCGCGGTAATTCCCGCGATATCGCGGCAATTAACCGCACGATATCGCTCTCCAATGGGGCAAAGGGTCCTGCTGTCTCGGGTCGTGCGTCGCTACAGCAGGACCCTTTGGAGCGGATTTAGCCGCGATTCAAGCTTGCTCAATGCAAGCATTTGCGCGATATCGCGCGACAAACGCGATGTGAACGGGGCCTCAGTTATCTCGGAGCTGGGTGGTCACAGACGCACATGGCTCCTGCTGACTCTCCGTGATCTCGGAGTGGGGTGGTCACAGACACACATGGCTCTTGCTGATTCTCTGTGAGCTCGGAGCGCGGTGGTCACAGACACACATGGGTCTTGCTGACTCTCCGTGATCTCAGAGCGGGGTGGGCGCAGACACGCATGGCTCCTGCTGACTCTCGGTGATCTCGGAGCGGGGTGGTCACAGACACACATGGCTCTTGCTGACTCTCCGTGATCTCGGAGCGGGGTGGGCGCAAACAAACACGGCTCTTGCTGACTCCGTGATCTCGGAGCGGGGTGGTCACAGACAGACAGACACATGGCTCCTGCTGACTCTCCGTGATGGAGTGGGGTGGTCACAGACACACATGGCTCTTGCTGACTCTCAGTGATCTCGGAGCGGGGGGGTCACAGACACACATGGCTCTTGCTTACTCTAGGTGATCTTGGAGCGGGGTGGGCGCAGGCACACACGGCTCTTGCTGACTCTCCGTGATCTCGGAGCGGGGTGGTCATAGACACACACGGCTCTTGCTGACTCTCGGAGCGGGGTGGTCACAGACACACATGGCTCTTGCTTACTCTCCGTGATCTCGGAGCGAGGTGGGCGCAGACACACACGGCTCTGGCTGACTCTCAGTGATCTCGGAGCGGGGTGGTCACAGACGCACACGGCTCTTGCTGACTCTCAGTGATCTCGGAGCCGGGTGGTCACAGACACACATGGCTTTTGCTGACTCTCGGTGATCTCTGAGCGGGGTGGTCACAGACACACATGGCTCTTGCTGACTCTCGGTGATCTCTGAGCGGGGGGGTCACAGACACACATGGCTCTTGCTGACTCTCGGTGATCTTGGAGCTGGACCGGCACAGACAAATTGACCTGGGTGTCTGGTTTAGTAAATTGCCTAGCTGTACTTCCAGTGTCAGAAAATAAAACCATTCCTAGGTTGTGTTTACAGATCAGAGGAGCTCTGCTTATAGACATTCTAGGTTAGTTGATTGCTCATTAGGATATCAGATTCCCTTTACTGTCCAACAAGAGTTGTTTGTTTGTCACCACTGATTACGGGAAGTGATCCATTGTCTCAATATGAAATCATTGTTTGTCATGTGTCAGGGGAGTGAATCATCTTCTACTTAACATATTTAGCATGGCACCAGCTTATCAATCTGAATCCACACAGGCTTGTTTATTATGCACGGTCATGTGCTCCCATCATGTGATTCCCTGGGAGGGGGCGTGTACTGCTGGCCAATAGAAATAATGCAGGGGGAAGTTTCTTGCAGCACATTTCCTCCTCCGTGGTAGGTTGACGTCTGATGGGTAAGTAATGGCAGGGTGTCGGCAGATCATTATGTTCCATGGACAGCAGGAGCTTCTTTTCCATACGTGTCTTGTCAGCAGACATGATTACCTGTTTATGGAAAGTCCAGACTTGTAAATGATCATTTACAAGTCTGCCAATTGCTGTCCTGTGTCTAGACCTCGGTTGGGTTGTATAAAGGCTTCTAGATTTGTCCATGTTGAAGTGAAAGTAAAAGCAGATTTCTGGAGTATTACTGCTGATTCACTGAGATCACGTCTGCTTTACCTATACTGCTTCCTGCAGCAGCTCACCGGACACAGCTCATGATGCTGGTTCACTATGCAGTGCAGTGGTTGTCCGATTTCAAGGTGTAGGGGGCTTTATCATGGCCCCTGACATCTCCAAAGGGCTGCATGTAATATTCAGTATCCTGCAGAAAACTTTCCGACCTATTAGAAGAGACGGTCAGAGGTTGCAAAGATGCAAACGGGGTGATAGGAGACTGAATACATTCTACAGGAGACATGTTACATGAGACTGCTAGAGATCACTGTCCTTATAGCCTCATTACACATGAATGCTTCCACTGCTGGCTCTGCAAAGGGCCAAACAGCAAGTACAAATGGGCTGCGTGCGTCCCTCGGGCAGCAGGGATCTAGAGAGACGATCGCTATTGTAACCTGACCACCTTTTTGCTTGTGCTGGTGACTGGGTGAGTTTATTGGGTCTGAGGAATCCTCTCTTGCATGGTCCTAGAACGTCTTGTGGCAGAGATCTGCAGTAAAGCTGACCACACACATTACAATGTGATTATGCAGCTCCTCCTATGTAGTGACTAGTTTTAGACTAAATGGATTGATTCGTGTTGACCTCATATTGCATTGTTTTGGTAAATCTAGATATGATAGTACAGAGATTGTATCATGTATGAGGAGGTTTTGTCTGCAGTGTCATCTGCTGGTGAGCTCTGGTACTACAACATATTTAAAGGGCTGTCAACATTGGGCAAGCTACATATTCCTCTCCCCATAGGTCTCCTTTAAGTCTTGGTGGATCTGGTCTGTATTACAGAATTTGGGACATTAGCTGCTTGGAAAAGACAAAAGTTGTGCCTGCTGCTATATCTTCGAGGGGAATCGGCATACTTTGTTACATCCCAGAACACTGAGCTATTTATTTGTCAGTCTGGGCTGGGGCACCATGTATGGTTTGAAGAGAAGACGTGTGAAGCCCTCGCCTTTTCTTTATTGTTTTCTGACTTCTCAGACAGATTTTGTGCACATCGTGTAAATATAAAGGGACCTTTGTCTTCTGACCATCTTCCTCCTTCTGTTTCGCTGTAGATTGCTACTGCGGTTCTTGCTTTCACATTCGCCTGCACTAGTCAGTGATGGAATCGGAGGCCAAGGACGGCGACGAGGAGAACCTTCAAAGCGCTTTTAAGAAACTGCGCGTGGATGCAGAAGGGTGAGTCCTGAGGAGGGTTCTGTGCTACAAATGTATACTGCTTTGTATGATTCCCGAACCTGGTCACGACCATTCAGGTTCTAGTTTTCTGGTGGGACCTCCAGTGCTTGAGTTGTCTATGCTCCAGTTTTCCAGCCAATCACAGCCTGCAAAATCTGAACAGGGACTCTTTCCGGGATATAGGACCGGCTCTGTTAAAATATCCTGGTGCTAAAGGGTAAGACCTGGCTCTGTGTGATAGCCAGTGCATGTTGAATAAGTTCCGGCAGAGTGGTGGATCTCTCCGCTGAGAATGGCTGTTATTCTGACACACTAGTTTGATATTTTCAGCGCTGTCGATCAGTAAAAAGTCACTTAGTCCTTGTCTGCATACTGCACCAGTCAGCCAAAGTATTGAAGCAAGAGGGTACAAAATGACAGCCAGGCTGCTAGCATTTTCAAAACCATAGGGCAGCAGTGGTAGCCATTGGTTTTCTGACCTTTGCCCCAATTCTACGGCTTGATGTAATGCTGGGCAAGGAGCAGGCCTCTTGGGGCTAGCCCAGTGGGAGATAAAGCACTCTTCACCACAGAGATTTTACTGCGTGCTGGAGCAATGTCCTGATCCTTCCCATTGATTGGGAAGAGGTAAGAGAATATGTGACCAGATGAGCCGTTTCTGTTTTGACTGATGTAAAAAAAAAACAAAAAACACACATGGGCATGCTCATGTCTAGGTAGATGTTTCACTGCCTGTCATTTTAGGGGAAAGCTTTGCTTGTTCATGGCCACTTAGCAAACAGCTATACACTAGTTCAGGGCCCTCTCCTCCCTCATAGTGAGCTCACAGTACTTCACTGCCCCAGGACTAGCCTGGAAGGTAGAAAATGGCAGCTTCATACATCGGGGGTTAGCTTGATGATGGGTCCCCTTTAATCACAAAGGACAGAGAGACATCTGACAACCCTATCAATCAAGGTCCTCTCACTGGAGATGTTTCCCTCCTTGCTCTGTCCGATTGTCGCGCGGCCTCTTTCACGCGGACAGTCTATTTTTGTACCCCGATTAGGCAGATCAAAAACTGACCCCAATGTATCCCTAGGGGCAGCTAATGGTAACCAGATGTGTGTCGGGTCGGGTGTCGGGTCTTTTCAGCTTCGTCAGACCAGTGCAATAAATTTGCATCCAGGTTCCCTTTTGCGGACCTGAATGAATGTGGGCGGATATAGGTGGAAGCATGTCGGTTTACATCTGGCCTCCCATAAGCATTACAAGGGTCCATTTATTCTTCATTACAAGATGGAGGAAAACAACCGGAAAAGATACGGATGTCACATATGTAACATCCATTTCCATTCTGATCTGACTCCGCAGGGGATCAGTCTATGGACCGCCTGTGTGAAAGGCGCCTAACTGCAGTCATTGACTTGTTGGCAAAAAAAGATGCTTCTTGAAAAGCTGAATGAAAATTTGGGGGACAATCTGTAGAGATGGTTATAGCTAACCAGAGTAAAGCCCATGCAGCAGATAGATTATATTGCTTTTGGGAATATGTTGTATAATAATGTATGCCTGGGCTTATATCTGTAGATTGATTGTGTGCTTCATGTTTCAGGGGCACGGCATCTCTTTCTGCTGCCGCCGATGGCTGCACTACACGGGCATCTGGAAGGCCTTCATTGGAAGACACCAAGCCAAAAGTGTTCGGCTGCTTAAAGGATAGCTGGCATGGGTAAATGTTTGGAGAAGGATTTCATTTCAGTTTGTCTTTTTAACAGCCAGTCACCCGAAAACTCTTATTTCAGTGATGTCAGAGGGTTAATGTACCTGACCGTTTCTTTCTCTCAGAGACTCTATTGGTGAGATCTCTGGGCTGAGTTCCCAGGTTTGGCGGGAGAACTGATAGTGCTGCGCTAGGGGAAGGCTGAGGATCCTCTCGACTAGCGCAGTGGAAGGCACGCGGCAACCCACCAGTTAAAGAAACACAGGTCTAAGTGAACCAGAAAGTCATCCATTAAAGACCTTGGGGTACAACACTGTTGTACTAATGTACCACATGTACAGATGTGAGGGTTTTAGTTGAGTACTTTTTGGGTCCTTTGGCCACCTCACCTGAGTGGTTTCCTAAAGCAATAGAAATGTTTATTAGTGTATGTGGTAATGCAGTCTCTGTGATATGTCCCCTCCTCGTATTTGTTTGGATAGCAGTGTCCCTTTTAAGGGCCATGTAGCTGATAATTCGGTGACTCACGCCGCCGTGATAAGAAAAAGCCTACAAGCTAAGTTTGGCCAAAGCAAACATGTGGAGATGCTGGAAGGCTTGTGCATTGTTTGAATAGCTATAGATTGATCTAATCCTAAACTGATGTAGTAGAGCACAGATGTTTACTAGCCTGTAACCATTTCTTGGAGCAGCCTACAGATTCCTTAAAGGAAACCTTTCTCGAGAGATGCATGGGAGCCGTTGATATCCCCATGTTTGGAAAATGTTAGATGTCTGGCTTCAGAACTTTGACTAAAACAGAACAAGAATGGAGATGAGGTTGTTGGATATTCATTGTCTGCTTCCTTGTTCTGTGTCAGTGACGGAAAGGATTGATGCCAGGAGGACAGTTAGTAATTTCAGGAGCAGTTGAGCAAGGACATCCTATATTTCTCCTAGAAGAGGTTTATTTGTAATAAATGCTTTACACATTTTTAGTTTTTTTTCCGGTGCTCAGTGCTGGCATGCATTGTCCCGGTTGGCTTTCTCAAATAAGACGGAAAGCCTCTCCCGCAGGCGGTGCAAGATTTGCTCTCATGCAGAGCCCAGGGCGCGCCGCTGCTATTTGGCATTTCCAGCTGTGTTGAATAGCTTGTCCTCACTCTCTTTGCTGTTTCTTTCCATTGACCACTACGTCTTTACTGTGTCCTCTAGTAGGGTAGGGCTCAGCGGGAAGAACCAGAGGGCATGCTTTTCAACGCATGTGCAAATGTTGGCTATAAGGGTGCCCAGTGCTCTGCAAGAGAGAAAAGTTCAACACGTCAGACACTTTATTTTTTTTGCAGGCTACTTCCGGTTTTATTTTATTGCTTGACTGGGTCGCTTTAATGCTTGATAGGGTAACTTTAATGCAACATTTAATATCTCTTATCTAAAAAATACATGGGTTTGAATCCTGAAGGAATGGGTGGAGTTATCTGTAATAATACATTAGTTTTCCCTCCTGGGAGATCGGTGTTGGCATTTTTCAGCACAGAGCTCCCAGCATGGATAGCAATTTCCTCCTCACCCCATTCCTCCTTAATATGTACCTGTCAAATGAAAATGTGACCTACCATTCAGAGTGTAGTAAATGCTAATGGCGTCTTCTAGTTCTTGGGGACTATTGTCAGACTGGAGCTGCAGCCATTGGGAGAGGTTCTCTGCAGCCATTGGGAGAGGTTCTCTGCAGCCATTGGGAGAGGTTCTCTGCAGCCATTGGGAGAGGTTCTCTGCAGCCATTGGGAGATTTTCTCGCGCTCTCTGTAGAATTTGACTTCACATTATGGCTGGACAGAGGCCAGGAGCAGTGCAGCCAGTGTCCCTAAAATGTGCAGCTAGCATATCACTTTTATGAGCGGTCTCTGTCAGTGGAAGTACTCCTTTGCCCCAACATTAGTCTCAAGTAGGGATGCGCCGATACTGGTGCACTGAGTACGGATACCGGTGCTTCCAATGGCATGGAGCCGGCTCCACGGGCAATCGGGAAGCCATGGCGGCGAGTAATGACATGCCGCCTGGCTCCTTGATTGCCCAGGAAGCCTGCTCCATGTTTGGCCGACGTGATTGTGAGCCAATCAGCATGGAGCCGGCTTCCCAGCCAATCAGGGAGGCGGGTCATTACGCACCACCCAGCTTCCTTATCGCACGGGGAGCTAGCTCCATGTTCCCCTACGGCACTGCCGGTCAGAAGAAATCTTGCTCTGAGCGGAAGTTCCGGTAGCGGAGCGTTTGGGTGAGTTCGAGTACTCGCCCAGATACTCCCGTTTCGGCACCAATACCGGTATCCGTGCATCCCTAGTCTCGAGGCTCCTGAAGTTGTCTTTAGCTGCCTTTTTCTAAATGATCCTTAATGTATCCATTCTTAATTCAGGCCTTTATTACATGCTGGTTTTTTTTTTCCTACCTTCAGATCAACCAGAAAAACTACACGAGGAGCCACCAGAACACCTCGCAGGCGACGCTCCAAATCTCCGGTCCTCCACCCGCCAAAGTTTACACACTGCAGCGCAAAGACGTCTTGCAACACTCAGCTAAAGCACAAGACTCTCTGCGACGCTTCAGACGGAGGACCCGCCATCAGTCGTTCTGCCACCAGCGATCCACCAAGCACTACTCTCAAAGGCAATGGCTACAGGAGATTTGGCCTTGAGCCTTCTGGGTTATCTTCATCAGAGACTTCCACCCAGATACCAGTTTCCCTGGATCCCGGGACAAGCTCCAAGGCCGGCTTCCCTTCAGATTTCCAGTCTGTGTCGAAGCTCAGCGCCGCCACAAAATGTACTTGCAACGGTAAAGATTGCCAGTGTGACAACTGGCAAAACATGGAAGTCTATTCCTTCTCGGGCTTGCGAGACATGCTCACGGAGTGCGAGAAGACCGTGAAGGAGGAGTTCTCTGCAGCCATTGGGAGATTTTCTCGCGCTCTCTGTAGAATTTGACTTCACATTATGGCTGGACAGAGGCCAGGAGCAGTGCAGCCAGTGTCCCTAAAATGTGCAGCTAGCATATCACTTTTATGAGCGGTCTCTGTCAGTGGAAGTACTCCTTTGCCCCAACATTAGTCTCAAGTAGGGATGCGCCGATACTGGTGCACTGAGTACGGATACCGGTGCTTCCAATGGCATGGAGCCGGCTCCACGGGCAATCGGGAAGCCATGGCGGCGAGTAATGACATGCCGCCTGGCTCCTTGATTGCCCAGGAAGCCTGCTCCATGTTTGGCCGACGTGATTGTGAGCCAATCAGCATGGAGCCGGCTTCCCAGCCAATCAGGGAGGCGGGTCATTACGCACCACCCAGCTTCCTTATCGCACGGGGAGCTAGCTCCATGTTCCCCTACGGCACTGCCGGTCAGAAGAAATCTTGCTCTGAGCGGAAGTTCCGGTAGCGGAGCGTTTGGGTGAGTTCGAGTACTCGCCCAGATACTCCCGTTTCGGCACCAATACCGGTATCCGTGCATCCCTAGTCTCGAGGCTCCTGAAGTTGTCTTTAGCTGCCTTTTTCTAAATGATCCTTAATGTATCCATTCTTAATTCAGGCCTTTATTACATGCTGGTTTTTTTTTTCCTACCTTCAGATCAACCAGAAAAACTACACGAGGAGCCACCAGAACACCTCGCAGGCGACGCTCCAAATCTCCGGTCCTCCACCCGCCAAAGTTTACACACTGCAGCGCAAAGACGTCTTGCAACACTCAGCTAAAGCACAAGACTCTCTGCGACGCTTCAGACGGAGGACCCGCCATCAGTCGTTCTGCCACCAGCGATCCACCAAGCACTACTCTCAAAGGCAATGGCTACAGGAGATTTGGCCTTGAGCCTTCTGGGTTATCTTCATCAGAGACTTCCACCCAGATACCAGTTTCCCTGGATCCCGGGACAAGCTCCAAGGCCGGCTTCCCTTCAGATTTCCAGTCTGTGTCGAAGCTCAGCGCCGCCACAAAATGTACTTGCAACGGTAAAGATTGCCAGTGTGACAACTGGCAAAACATGGAAGTCTATTCCTTCTCGGGCTTGCGAGACATGCTCACGGAGTGCGAGAAGACCGTGAAGGAGGACTGCTCTCAGCCTTTACAAAACAGAACTAATGCCGGCAGCTCCAGCGCCTCTGGCTCCCCTCGCTCCTGCTCGGAGCAGGCCCGGGCCTCTGTCGATGATGTCACCATCGAAGACCTGGCCGGTTACATGGAATACTACTTGTATATTCCAAAGAAAATGTCCCACATGGCAGAAATGATGTACACATGAGCGCTAAGAATTGCCAGGGAGGGTGACAATGAACCGCATGTTGCCAAGAGAGATCTTTGGGCCTTCAATCATTTGGGTGTAAAATAGAAAATGTCATCTGCATCTTGCACAGTTTGTCTTGAAATTTCAAGGGTGTCTCTGGCTTCTTAGTTCAAAGAGAACTATCTGCATTTTTTTTTCCTGCTTCAAGGTGTTTTTCCTACTTTATTGAAGAACGGACTGGAGGGTCTCCTTTGCTTACTGAACCCCAACATAGGTAGTCAGAGCTGTGGCCCGACCTAAGAATTAAAATGTAAAACATTGAGGGTAGCTAACACCCCCCCAGCCCTCAGAGAGCTCATTTTAAAAGCACCAGCAACCAAGACCTTGGATACACAGAGGTTCAATTTTCAGTCTTCATATGAACATTGTGTATTGCAAGCGTCAGGCAGCTTAGTTGAGGCTTTTAAAGCAACCCTCAGGTCCATTTTGAGGATGTATAACACAAATTTAAATGACAGTGCTGGCTGTCACTTTAAACCAGCTGCTTGTAGGCTACAAGTAGTTGTGGAGCTTGAATCGCTGTTAAGATCTGTGTGTATAAGTTCTTAAACTGGAGCTGAAGGCCTATCTCTGGGCAGACATAAAAACCTCTTCTGGCAGTGGGGCTACCCCCGCACTGCAAGGGTTAACTGCTCACAGGGCAGCTGGTTAAAGCAGTTTTACGTACTCGATCCCCAGCAATTGGAGCTCACCTAGTCTACCGTGTGCTGCGGCTCATGGACTGCCCCACTGCGTCCTCGCGTCTAATGCAGGTCTATGGTCCCTGCATTAGATGTAATGACGTTGGTGGGCTTCTGATCGCCCAAGTGGAAGGTCTTGTAGCCAGCGGAAGTGGAGATCAGGTAAGTAAAACTGCTTTATACAATCCCCTTGACAAGGCAACCTCCGGCACCCCAGCTGTGGTAAAACTACAAATACCATTATACCTCTGGGAGTCATGCTGGTGGCTGTTAAGTCCGTGACATGCTGCATGCAAAGCCGCTGTCCAGCACGGAGCTTTGCATGCAGTGTGTGAGCTGAGTGCAGGTAGATTGACTGCACCTTCAGCCAATCAGCTCGTTTGGCTAAAGGTTACGTTTTTAATCTTGGCACGCTTAGCTATGCGAGCTCTCGCAAGCTGATGTGCTGGGGAGAAAATTACATGACACACTACTCGCGAAGGCAGTGCGCCACCGCTTTGCGTGCAGTGTGTCGCAGCCTTTAGTTTTGCAAAGCCTCATGGGACTTGGAGTTTTACAACAGCTGGAGTGCCGAGGTTGCCCACCCCTGATCTAGACATAGAATAGCAGTTAACCCTTGCCGTACAGGGGCAACCCCTCTGCAAGGGAAGGTTTTTTTGTTTGCCCAGAGATGGGCTTTAAATTCTTCATCAAAGCTGCTGGCTCTTTGGAAATGCATTGTAAAGGTTGCTGTGCACAATACAAATACAAAGTGAATCCCGTGTGTACAAGCTATTACACTCGAGAGCGGAAAATACGCAAATGTTTAGCTCTGCTGTCAGTGATGACAATAGGAGGATAGCACTGACTGATGACGTGGCTACAGTGCCAATTGTAGGTTTTCTCATGTGCTACCAAGGAACATACTGATAGAGAGCAGAGAGAAGAGCTCCTCCGTCTGCTCCTTCTCCTTTTCACTGTCCAATCACAGGCTGAGGGCAGGACAAAGCTTGTCAAATATTGACAGCACAGGTTAAAAAAGATTGCCGCATTGGTAATACCCTTGGTGTTGGAATACTTTGCTTTGTAAGTGATAATTTAGCTTCAGAGTATCCTGTCACCAGAATGAATACTGTGATTACTTTGAAACATTGTTTATTGAGAAGAATAAACTGCTCCTGATGGATTAATGTGATTTACAAATAACAGTGATCTCTATTACCTGTACAAGACTTATGTGGTACCTCTGCACTTTGTACCATATTGCAAGCAGCCTCTATTCTAGGTGAATGGATACAATGGTGCTGTGTGTACAGTGCAGAGAAGTGCAGCCGCCATCTCGGTTTGGACCTTTTTGGGTGTGGAGTGTTGAGTCCTGTGCAGTAAGGTTGCTGCAGAAAGGACGGGAGGAAGGTTATTATTTGCTTTATCCTTTCAGTTCATTCAATATGGATTTAGGGAGTCATTGTCTTCTATTTTGGTTCAGTTCTATTGGCTTGGTGCAAAGCATTGAATTATTGCTTTCTTTCTTGTCAATAGAGCGACACAGGCATTCTGATACTGTTAGGTTATACTGCCACCTACAGGAGATGTCTAAGAATTCTTGTGTCCTTCAATGGGCTCCAAGAAAAGGATTTTACAAATCCGATTTGTGCTTGGTTAAGTACTGATAAAGATTCTGACACGTCAGAGAATCGTAATGCTATGTTTTATAATGTTTGAAGTCTAGCTAAAGCCTGAAGGTTTTTTTTGTTTGTTTGTAGTTTTGGCTAGATCCCGGCTTCCTGTGTGTCAGTGCAGGAGAGTTCCCTTTACTTCCTGTTCAGGAGACACAACAGAAACTAAGAGGATAGATTTCCAAAGTGAGGTAGGTCCCCTGTTGTAAATGTGTCCCATATTTAAGATTCCCCCTCTATTCTTGTTAATGTGACCACTTTAAAATGTTGGCTTTCCCCTCCCTTTCTAGTGACAATGGTCATCATCACATATAGAGGGGAAACGCCCCAACAGAGACCCAGACAGCAATAAAAGCCTGACATGGGGTCTAATCCTTCCACACTATGTCCTAGACCGGAAACAAAAATACACTTTAAGAGACCCTGTCACCAGAAAGAATACTGTGCTTCTTGGTAATGGGACTATATTTGTAATTCCTTTTGAGAAATTTTATGTACAAGCTGGAGGGGAAAATGAAAGAATCCAACACTTAGACGTTTCTGTTACTGACAGCGGCTCAGCATACACGGACACATGGCACTGAGGGTTCTGTCTTCTTTTTCCCTGCCCACAATTATCTTGCTTCTATATAAAGTCATTAAAAACACTATTAAAGTGACCTATCGGGGATAGTGTAGAACAGCCATTGCTAAATGGCAGACTGCAGTCCGGACACCGACTGAGTGGCAGTTCTGTCCGGACCATGATCACCGATCTGTGCTGCGTTATGGCTGACTGAGAGTGGATACACTGCCCTCCAAGACCATAACCCAGTGCAGGCCCTCTCTCTGCTTCAGTCATTGGTTGCTAGGATCGCTGGCATCCAATCAACCAATTAAGTCAGGTGTCCACCTCCTCAGCAGTTATTGGTTGCTAGGATCGCTGGCATCCTAGCAACTAATGACGTCAGGTGTCTACCTCCTCGGCAGTCATTGGTTGCTAGGGTCACTGGCTTTCTATCAACCAATGACATTAGGCATGGCTGGCTGCTACAACTATAAGTGATCTGGTGCTGTATAGCCACCCAGATCACTTGTACTAGCTATGATTCCCCCCCCCCCCCCGTCTCACCACAGCACACAGTATCCGGATGGAGAGAAATAGCAGACCGGGGAACATACTGTGTATACAGACTATGAAGAACATTCCTGTGCTTGATGATCTGTATTGGAGGGCAGGAAAGACATCAGAGGTCTAATAGACCCCTGATGTCTCCATAAAGAGAACTTGTCACCTTCAAATGCTGTCACATATGGGCTTGTGAAGGCAAAATTGGGAAAAAAAGGCGATTAAAGCAAATTATAAAATAAATAAACCAACCCTGCCGCCCCGTCTATCTGATTCTAATCAACACTTGCCCGTTAGATCTGCCAACAGCTGTGTAGTGGAAGGGCCGGTCTGGCTTTCTTGGCTACACCCTCATAGTTTTGGTACATCTAGAGTAGATTGTATAGCCAGCCTTAGAGTCCCCTCATTTTGAAAAGATTTCCTCTCCATTCCTGTTGTGTCTCTGGGTAAGGAAGTGAGTAGAAATCTCCCCAACCTGTCCTAGACTAAACACATAATGGACCATTTCCTGTTCTATCCATAACTACACAACAAAGCTTGGCTTCTGGATACTTTACATTGCAAAAAAATCCCATTGTGAAAGTGCTGGGATGAAGTTGCTGTAGAAGCGGAAAGCCCCTTTAAGTTGGAGCAGTGTAAGTGTGTTCAGGGGCTCATCAAGTGTGTTACAGGCCACATACTGTGTTATAACAAGGCGTTCTACCTGTGCCACTGAGCCGCTCAGGAAGATGCATGCATGCATGTATGCAGCGCTGTCCCCTTTAAGCATCTGGCGATGGATGGCAGTGGCTGCCGATCGCTGTACAGTACATGTGAAATGTGCGATCCCAAGATACCCGAAATAGAGCTGGGAGGGGACAAACCGATCCATTTTTAAAACCGCCTTGTCCAGTCGCTATTCTTGAAGTGGCTTCCTGGGAAAATACTTCTGCTCTTGCAGTGTTACATGAATGTTGCTCATGTTGGATAAAGCATCTGTGTGTTTTTTTTTTAAAAATAGAGGAATTAGATTCCGGATTGTTATCGGAGAACGACTCGCGAAAAAAATAATCCTAGATGTTTCCCCCGTTGCAGTGCTCTCTTCCAGACGGCATGTATTGGGGTGTGCTGGAACACGGTAGTTTTCTGTAAGCCAAATAAAACATGCAGTACAAGAAGTGATTTCATTGTTTGCGTCTCTTTCATCTGTCTCTGCTCAGGGGATGTGGTGCTCTGGGATCAGGGGGTGAATGTTGCCTGAACGCTTTGTGTTTTTAGGTCTGAACGACAAGGGAGGTTTCTGCTATCCTGATCACACTGCTCAAATTTACGGAGATGTCAACGATCACAATCACATGACGCAAATGGTTTCCTATGGGTGGTAGGCTAGCTTGGCAAGTCTCGTGTGGTATTGCAAGACTCTGATAGCCACAGGCATGATGGGATTTGTGTTTTCATTAGCGGTGGTGTACCAAGGTTGCCAACCGCTGCAGTAGCATGTAGCAGAAATTGGAGATGAGTTCTGCTGCTGCAGCCAAATCCCGGGCCGTTCTAATTGGCCAAATCTCTGACTCTTCCTGCTTTGAAAGCCTACCCACCTCATTCTGCATCCCATTCATATGAGACAGCCCATTCTAATGAAGGGGTCAATAGAATCACGGGAACCGGGAGGATGCAAGAGGCACGTGCTGGATCTTTGCCCAATTAGG